AATCCAGTCTACATTTTTATCTTTGGTAGATCACCGAAATAGTACTGACTCAGATCCTCCTGCTTCTAGCACTCTGATGGAATCTAAATAAATACTAGGATCAAATGGCTGTCCTGGAGTCAGAATCTCCTTTTTTTTTTTAATGGCATGACAACTGAGGCTAATCTTGCAATAGTGAAAGGTATAGATATCGAGTAATGGTCCACTCTAATACCAGCAGAGATCCAGGCATGGAGAACCTTACATCCAGACACATTTCTCAAGAATTCCAATCCCTCCCTGCCACCCCCATACACTTTGAAGGCAGGAAGTATAAATGGCTTCTATGAAGGGAAGTCAGGAAGTTTGGCCAGACAGTCTCTGTTACAGCCCATCTTTGTTCAGGAATAGAAAGGATAAAGATTACAAGGTGGATTCCCGTGGGGCATCTTGTCCGGGAAGAGGATAATGCATTCCATCCCCGAGACCTCCAAGGTTGACTGGAGCAGGAACAGGGCTGCCATTTGAGCTGCTTGGCCTCCCTGCTGGGTGAGCTGCAGGCATCCCTGCTGTGTGGCATGAAGATCTCTTTTCTTTAACGTGCATTCCAGCCAGGAATTAATTTCCTCATGCCTAGGTTTCAACCTTTATAGTTTTTCTGAAGTCTACTTTCTTTTATTTGTGTACACCTATCCCTGAAGTTCCAGTGATGAGATGAAAGGTTCCGGGTCTGTACCTTTTTTTAATTTTTGTTTTCTGAGACAGAGTTTTTCTGTGTAGCCTTGGCTGTCTTGGAACTCACTCTGTAGACCAGGCTGGCCTTGAACTCACAGAGGTCTGCCTGCCTCAGCCTTCCTTGGTGCTGGGATTAAAGGTTTGTGAAACCAAGCCCAGCTGGGCTGATAATTTTAATTTACCAAGTTTCCGGATAATGCTGTGAGAAGACCAGGCATGACTACCCCCCTCCTCCCAAGTCACCAGTCCCAGGAATAGCCTATAGGTAACCACAGGAATGGGAAGGGATCTTATCTCAGGATGGGGCATCTGTGCTGGGCAGCCCACAGACCTTGTAGTAAAACATACATGGCATAGAAAATACCTACCATTCCTGAGGTCTACAGATAGCCTGCGCAATATTAGTTAGCCAATCACTTTATAACAAGCTTTCCCTTGCTGAATGTCACCCAATCCTGTAACTGCTAAACTGGAAATTTTCCGAACTTTACTGTAACCCAAAATAAAAACCCCTCTCTCCCTGAGCTTGGGGCTGTATACTCTGAACTGCTGCATCAGTGATGGTGTGGGCCCCGGGCTCGAGCTTGTAATAAAGACCCTACTGCGTTTGCATTGGGATCAGCTCCTTGGTGGTCTTTGGGGTTCTGTGAGACTTGGGCATAACAGCTGTTGTCCTTGAACTATATTTGTAGATCCATTATGTTAGATGTATATGCTTTTCTCCAAAGGATGTTTCTCATACTGAAGGACTCAAGCTAACTGTGATTTCATTTTGAATTTTAGGCCCCACGTGAAAATAAGTTCTCTCAGTACTTTTCCAGAAAGCAGAAGGACATGGGCAGAGATGAGGAAGTGGGCAAGATGAGACAGACTCATGAACCCACCCTGTTGTAAAAAGTGACCAGGCCTGCACTTGCAAGATACCGTTACCTAGCAACCTATCCAGATGGCCCCACTTCCCTTTCCAGATAGCCCCTGGTTTGTGACCAAAGTCACATAGCCCCACTTCTCAGAAAAACCACAGGATGTGCTGATTGCTCTTCCCACCCTTGGCAATGGCCAAAGCAGCACATAACAGGACATTCCAGGCGTGACTCATGATCGGATATCCTCTAGATGGCCGGGGCAGTACCACCGGTTTTGGTGCCTAAAATAGACCAATCATTTTGAAAGTCAACTTCCCTATAGACCCTTTTACTCAATCCTGTAATGGCAAGGCATGTAACTCCCTGCTTGTGGTTTCTCCCTATAAAAACCCAAAGCTTTTATTCCTTGGGGCTGTCTCCTGCTTGAATGCTAGCCAGCCCCATTACCTGTTGGCCTGAATAAACCTCTTGTTGTTGCATTGATCTGGCCTCCGAGTCTCCTTTGAGCACCTTCCCAGTAATTGGGTCCCAAACTGGGTCCAACAGTACTATGGCAGACATGCCATAGTGTAATGGGTTCGGTGACACGCTTATTAATAGTCTTTGCCAACGTAATTAGCTAAGATGAAACAAACAAACAAAATGAATATTCTAAAGTTGCTGCCAGTGAGTCACCCCCTTGGGTCATCTCCTGCCTTTCAATGTGAGTAGAACTTGAGACCTGTCTCTAACTGACACACTACTGCACATGTGATGGATTGTCACGGCTATAACTCAGCTGCATCATCCTAGGGCTATGCATTAACAACTGCAAAGATGTTTTCTCTTTGTCCAAGAAAATGGCCACATGATTTCAGAAAGCTTCTGCTGGCACCTCAGACTTAATCCAGTGGCTGGTAGGAGGCTGGAGCTCTTCAACCCTGCAATTGTAAGGAAGTACATTATGCCACCACCTAAGTGTGCTTGGGAGGGCATCCAGATAAGTGTCAGGGCTTGCCTGACCCTATGGGGTCTTTTGCATAACTTTCAGATGTCAGCTGAGACCATAGGCACCTAATATTTACCTGGGCTGGACATCAGCAATGACCTGTTACTGTGGTTGGAGGGCTGCCATGGTTTGAATGTGAAATGTTCATAGGCTCATGTGTCTCAACACTTGGTCTCTGCTAGTGGCACTGTCTGGGAAGGTTATGGAACTATCAGGAGGCGGAGCTTTGCTGGAGGACATATGTCACCTAGGACAGGCTTTGAGGGCTTATAGCTCAGTCTTATCTTCCTTTCTGGACCGCTGATCTAATATGTTGAACTGGCTTCATGCTCTTATGGCCATACCTTCCTTGACATGGAAAGGAAAACCAAAATATGCTTTCTTCCCTAACTGTTTTCTATTAACTTAAGCAGTTACCAGCCTGTGTAGATGGAGGTGACCCAGACATTACTTTTTAAGAATGAATGACAAAGAACTTGTATGCGGTATGCTAAAATTGATTGGCCTGGCAGCCTTGGCTCACACCTTTGATCCCAGAAGCATTTGGATCTCTGAGTTCAAGGCCAGCCTGGTCTACAGAGCCAGTTCCAGGACAGGTTTACAGTGAGAAAGCATGTCTTAAAAAACTAAAAACAACCAATCAAGCCAAACCAAAAAAATCTGCCTAATTGTTACTGTGGTATACCTTACATATACAGATCTTAACGGTGAATTCAATAGAGGCAAATGATTATATAGAATCATGCATTTATCACCTGAAGTTATAGGACTTTTTTTTTTCTCACTTTGTAAAGCTCTCTCTTGATTTTTAAAGCCAGTTCTCAGTTCTTCCTGTTCTATGAAGAAACAGAACGAGTTATATACTATATATCTGGGTTCAGATTCTTTCAATATAAAAATTTCTGATTTATCCATATTGTCCATGTTTTGTTGACTTGTATTTTATTGCTGGGTTTAATTCCACTGCATAAGCATTGTAGTTTTTAAATCTCAATTTTATTTCTAGTGTGTAGTCATTGAGAATGGGAATATGCCTCCATGAGACTGGGTTGTAGGTAAGCCTGTAAGGCATTTTCTTAGTGATTGATGGGGAGGGCCCAGTCCATTGTGGGTGGGAGCATCCATGGGTTGGTGGTCCTGGGTTCTGTAAGAAAGCAGGCCGAGCAAGCCACAAGGAACAAGCCAGTAAGCAGCACCCCTCCATAGCCTCTATATCAGCTCCTGCCTCCAAGTTCTTGCCCTGCTTGAGTTCCTGTCCTGACTTCCTTTGATAATAATAAACCCCTCTTCCCCAGCTTGCTTTTGATCATGCTGTTTCATTGTATCCTTAGTAACCCTAATTAAGATAGTACCTTAATGTGGTAACTTATCTCCATCAATCATCAGTTAGTTACAAAAATGCTCAGCATGAAAAATTATAGGGGCTTCAGGTTAAAAAATGAAAATTTCCCACAAAACCCACTTCTCCTCTCTTTTCTTCAAATCTCATTCCTTAGAGGTTAAAATAGAATCAAGAGGGAGTTATGTTTCCAAATTGTCAGTGTGTAGGAGGAGCACAGTATTGCTGGAGGGGCAGAACTTCACTACTGACTATGAATTAGTAGAGGCTCAATTATAACGACAATTAAGTTCTTTTTTTCTAGGTATTCCCAACCTCAATACTTTGCTACTGTCTCCAAGGGAGTTACTTTAAGAGTGAAAGGCCATTGTGTTTCTCAGGGAGTCTGGAATTCTGTTAACGGAAAATAACATACAAGTATAGGATTCTTAGATAATTAGATCGTTCTAATTGGAAGTAATTCTCAATATGCATATTCCACACCTTTGTAAGCTTGCAAGGAAACTTGTTTTGTAAGATTGGGCCTCTTTGATGGATAGCGATGGTTTATTAGGTTACCAGGCTGATTCATTATTTAGGTTCAATAGAAAGATTACTAAAGGGGCTGGAAAGATGGTTCAGAGGTTAAGAGCACTGGCTGTTCTTCCAAAGGTCCTGAGTTCAATTCCTAGCAACCAATGCTGGCTCATAACCATTTAGTAAGATCTTCTAGTGTGCAGGCATACATGCAGGCAGAATGCTCTATAAATAATAAATAAATCTTAAACAAAAAGATTACTAAAAAAAAAAAAAAGAGTTATCCTTTGGATTCTGCCCAGTGGGTTGAATACTGAGTAAACTGAATATGTACAGAAGAAAAGGAACTTGAGATTGATGAAGAGCTGATTTTTTTTTTTTAATTCTTCTTTTGAGCTTAGCCTTTAGTGGCTGAACCATTCCCTAGCCCAGGAGATGATGTTTTTAAAAGGCTTATGGTATTGGCTACAAATCTAAAATCTGTATCTGCTATACGGAGATAAGGTTAACTGTGACAGGAGAGACAATATACCTCAGCAGATTAGATAAAAATAAAGAGATTACGAAAAACACATGATAATGATAAACAAGACATTTATTTTTCATATTCATTTGGGGGAAAGGGAAAAAGTCAGTTTGCCCTTTCAAGTGCTGGTCCTTCCAGAAGAATTTCCACTTACCCTACAGAGTTGGATAGAATTCTTGATTAGAGAGGGTTTTTACTCTGAATTCGTAAGAACTCCCTTTGAGGAGAGTGCTCACAGAGTAAGCCTCTGTGAGCAGCTTCGCTGGTGCACAGCCAGGCTCCCTCTCTGAGTGAAGCTCTTTCCACACTGGCCACAGAGATAGGGTGTTTCTCCTGTGTGGACTTTTCCATGCAGAATGCAATTCCCCCTGGTGTGGAAGCTCTTCCTGCAGTGGGAACATGCGTAGGGCTTCAGGCCTGTGTGAACTCTGATGTGGACAATTAAGCTTCCTTTCTGACTGAAGGCTTTCCCACACTGGTCGCACCTGTACGGCTTCTCGCCACTGTGGACTCTCCGGTGGACAGCAAGGTTGCTTTGATTCCTGAAGCTTCTCTGGCAAATGGCACACTCATAGGGTTTCTGTCCAGTGTGGAGTCTCTCGTGGACAGCTAGGCTGCCTCGCTGACTAAAGCTTTTCCCACACTCTTTGCACTGGTAGGGCTTCTCGCCTGTGTGGATTCGCTGATGGGTAACTAGATTGCCTTTGGCCCTGAAGCTTTTCCCACACTGGGTGCACTCAAAGGGCTTCTGACCAGTATGGATTCTCTCATGCAATGTGAGGCTACCTTTCTGCCGGAAAGATTTCCCACATTCCTGGCAATCATAGACCTTCTGTCTCACTCCAGGTGAGTCTTCCTGGAGTGTCTTAGAATCTGGGGACTTTTGTTCCAGCTTCTCTCTTCTGAAAGAACTCTGGAAATCCCAGCTTGAGGATCCTGTAGCCTCTGAATGATCATACTTGTGGGCTTCTGTCATCACATCTGGTAAAATGAGAGGGAAGTCATGTAAGATGCACCAATATGCTGAGTGAGAAGAACAGGGAAAAGAAGAAACATAATCCTTAGAGGGCTGATTATGTGCCAGGCATTATACTAAGAACTCTGCACAGATGACTAGACTTGAAAATCACCCTGAGATGGCTAAGAACAGGAGAGCATAGGGAGGGTACTATCAATAGGTGAATTATCTGGGATTCAAATATTAGCACACTCCATGGCTATATGCTGCCTTTAAATTTAGTGTAGCCTTCCAAAGTCTTGGAAAGGTGACACTATTATGGTTATTCTTTTGAGGGGGTGCTGGGAATTGAACCTAGGTCACCTGGAAGAGTAGCCAGTGCTCTTAATCACTGAACCATCTCTCAGGACTAACACAATTATTTTATAAGGAAAAAAAGGGATCATAAGGGCAGGCAGTGGTGGTGGTGCACACCTTTAATCCTAGCACTCAGGAGGCAGAGGCAGAGGCAGGTAGATTTCTGGGAGTTTAAGATCAGCCTGGTCTACAAAATTAGTTCCAGGACAGCCAAGGCTACACAGAGAAAGGAAAGAAAGGGGCTCATAAAATTATATAGAGAATCACAGAGACTTTAACCTAAGTTTTAGCTAATTCCCAAACAGGTGTGGAGTGAGGATACGAAGGGACTAAAGCTTTAAACCTTAAAAGCACCCCTTTAAAAAAGGCATAGAGTCATGCAAAGGAGAGACACATTCAAATGAGAGCCTTACACTCACCGGCTTCATGAAAGCCTATTCTAGTCTGCTCTCCTGACAGTACAGTTTATGATCTCAAAAAAGCAGCAGCATAATTTCAGATATTTTATGTCTATGCCTTGAATTCTAAAAAGATGCAGCTTATTGCCTATCTGCTTATACAGATGAAAAGTCGGAAGCTTAAGGAAGTTATGTAACCTCTTTAATGATACAAATAGGACTGGAATTTCTTCTCTTAAAGCCCATGTTCTTCTCAGCCTACTAAGCTATGGTAAAACTGAACAAGTATATTCATTTTCATCCTAGATTAGTTTCTTCCTTGTTTGTCTCTTTCTCACACTGTGATAGAGCGGAGAGTTAAGACACTCATTCAGCCTGAGACAACCTCAAGATTACCTGCACATCAATTTATTTTCTTTTTCTTTTTTATTCAAGACCGTTTCGCTGTGTAGCCCTGGCTGTCCTGGAACTCGCTCTGTAGACCAGGCTGGAACTGTGCCTCTGCCTCCCAAGTGCTGGGATTAAAGGCATTCGCCACCATGCCCAGCTAATTCTGTTGTATTAACCGAGTAGCTAACCCTTCTACCCTTTCAGCTGTATATCCATTTCAGTTGTATAACCATTTGCTTGCTTTGTTTTGACTATCATTTCCAATTCCAGCTTGCAGGCTTATCCTGCAACTCTGAAGAACAGTGAATCATCTTCTGCTCCTGAGAATAGGGACTCTGAAGGCATCCCAGCAACCAGCTGACTCACTCACTGAAAAATGCTACATTCTGCGCATATCTTCCATGACAGTCCAGCAGGGTAGCTGTTGGAAACCCAAACATGTCCACTCCTGCTGTATGACTTTAATCACCACCTCTTCATATGATTCTTCCATGGGCTGGTCTTGAGTACCTGAGGGACAGAAAAAAATAAACGAAAAAAACAACAAGCAATAAAGGGCAGAACTGATAACTGACATCAGTTTGAAGTGTAAACAAAGAAAGAGGGACTGCTTGAGGTAATATCAGTGTAAAGTAGGCTAAAGATAGCAGGACTGGCTGAACAAAAAATGATTCTAGGAGCAAAGAGACAGTAGAAAGCAGACATCATGTAAGCATGGACTTCCTACTGTTATTCCCCAGGTACGAGTCACTTCTGTTTGTACTTTGGTCTTGACATCAGATTGGGGTCTTTTACCTCCCAGGCAACTGCTGCTGCTTTTACTCCCCAAGCTTAAGAGTTTATACACTTTATGTAGTGACACACAATATAATCTTTGTTTCAGTATGTCCAGTCAAAATGCTGGACTTCTAACTTAATGAATTAGCAATCTGATGCTACAATTGTTTTATTTTTATTTTTTATATTTTTTGAGACAGGGTTTCTTTGTGTACCTTGGCTGTCCTGGACTCACTTTGCAGATCAGACTGGCCTTGAACTCACATAGATCTATCTGCCTCTGCCTCCCTGAGGGACTAAAGGTGTGTGCCACCACACACACACAGCTAATTCTCTGTTTTATTAACCAAGTAGCTAACTCTTACACCCATACCCGTTCAGTTGAATATAGTGATGACAAGAAATCTTATTTGAAGGATTCACTTCCAACGTGAAACACAAGCTATAAAGGGCTCCCCTATCAGTGTGCAAACACATTCACTTAGAAATATAAGACATTTTAAAAATAAAACCAACAAGAAAACCCTGCACATTCACAAAGAAAAGCACATGGTGCCTCCTCCCTGGGGCTGGGCTTTTCACTGGAGTGTCTAGAAAACATGGTTAAGTCAAAAGAAACGAGCAGAGTGTATACCTCCAGCCCTCGGCCTGCTAAAAGGTATCCAACAACTATCCATCAGCTGTCTCCCGACTCTCCATGATTAATAGCAAGAAACTGACAGCAGGAAATTGCCAAGGCAGAGCTGTGATCTCAAGTCAGAGCAATCAAAATTCTTGAAGACATTGGAAGAAAGTGGTTTCATGAGACAAAACGTTGCTTTTCCTATCAGAAATGCTATCACAGCTCAGAACGAGGCTCTGAGAGACTTGGATTCTTGGCGTGGTTCCCTCAGTGTATGACCTGGGGCAAAGCAACCTAACAGCCCCGACTCTAGTTTCTTCACTTACTAAACAAGCTGACAGTGTCTCATTAGATAGCTATCGGAAGAACAGATGACCAGAAAGTGAGGGATCTCTAACATTTGAGACACACCCTACAAATTCAAGGCCTAAAATGGGGCATCCATAGGAGAGAGGGGCTGGAGGACACAAGGGGTGATCTGTAGGGTCTGGGGGAAACTCTAACGAGGCATTTTAAGGAGCGATTAGGAGTTTGTGGGTGAGGGTGGGTTTCCCCTACGCTGGATGCCACTCCCTTCTCATCTTCCTACGTGAGGAGTCTGAACCTCCTGGCCTAGCTGGACCTTCCTGTGGCCCCTCCCAAGCTCGCGGGGCCCCAGCCTCCCAGGGGTTCCCCGGACATCGCAGCGGGGCCCTTCCGCAGTAGACTGCGGCTCACCCACTCTCCCACCAGCGCACCCTTGTCTGCAGCTGCCGACTGCGGCCTGAACGGCCGGCCTGGCCTGCTCAAACACCCTGGCCGGGGCAGCTGGCTCACGACACAGCCCCCTCTCCCGGGCGCAGACACCCGGCCTCGGCCTCACTCACCGCAGCGGCGCGCGCCCGCAGACAGACAAAGCCGGCGCCGAGCCCGTAGCAGCCCCAGCAACGCTGCGCGTCGCTGGACCACAACTCCCAGGAGCCCGCGCGCGCCCCGGGGCACTGTGGGAAGGGCCGCCGCGGTGCTGCGGCAGAAACACGAACCGCTATTGCGACGCTGGCTGTTTCAGATAGAGAGGGGCGCCGACCCGTGGAGGAGCGGTAGTTGGGGGATGCTGAGGACGTCAAACCTTGCAAGATTCAGGGTTCTCTGCCGGGGACGAGTATTTCGGATAAAGAATCAGGAACACTCGTTAGCCCGTTTAATACGTTTTCTCACCCAAAAGATGGACGGGGCGCTGCCGAACTTTGTAATTTAGGCACCACCCCGACTAGTTGCGTGACTCAGGGCGGGAATCTTACTGGTGGGGAGCCCTGGACAGACAGCTCCAGGACCCTACAGGGCACCTACACGGGGCCCGGAAGACCTTCGGAGCCAAAGGAACGCGAGGAAACCGTATTCCCTGAGGTGGCATTAACGTTTTCCTCTGAAGTAGTGTGACCCAGTAGTTGAGATTTGAACAACTCTAGAAGTCACAGAGCGGATGGGAGAGTAGCCCTTTTCCACGGAGCTGCCTCTGGAGAGCAGCAGCAGCTGGGTAGCTGCGTAGTCCTTGGCCCTTTTAGAGGGTGGCGGCCATTGAATACCCATAAAAATAAAAGCTCTCCGAAATGTCTCAAACTTCCATCGACTGCACTTATCTATATGCGTTTGTAATGGCTGTTCTATAGGACAGCCATTGGTCTCACTTTGAAGCCGTGACTTCTTCGGTGTCCCCTCCCCACCTCCTCTTATCTTATTGAATGAAGAGGACACCTTAAGAAATGTTTCCTTTTGCAGTGCCCTGTGTTCTTTACCCAAAACTGCGTGTGTTAGGGGTGGGCAAAACATTTGACTTCACAGAATATCTCTATTCTGTGGGACCAGATGTGGGATTAGGACACATTTTAGATCTAGCCAAGAAAAGAGTTGACAAAGCTTTGGTAGGAAGAGATGGCTGTGAAGAGAGACTGTAATCTCCTTTCCTTCATAATTCTGCAGATTCCCTTAAAGAGGCTTGGGGAAAGGGGTACATTTACTTTTTGAAAATTGGATCACATCTTGTTTATTGTGTGTGGATGTGTGCGGTTCCTTGCCGTGGCTCTGGAGGACAGGGAACCATTAGTATGAATGGGTTCTCCCTTTCCATGGAGAACCCATGGATGGAACTCAGGTCCTCAGGCTTGACAGCAAGTGTTATTACCTACCAACCGTCTTACAGGCCCAGTTCCATTTGATAGAATGGGTTGAAAGACTCAGATTTTCCCTAGATCTTGAATGGGGCAGAGTTCTTAGTTACCACCTGCATCTTAAGGCTTGCTCATCAAGAAGGAGGACACAGAGTGAGGACTGGAGCGAAATTCTGTCGGTGTAGTTTAAATGCTTATTAAAGACATCCCCTCCTGGCACTTTAGAACATTAGGGGAGGGAATGAGAGTTCAGAAAACGATGTAACGACAGTCTCACTATTTGGATGAAAAAAGTGTTCAGCGAACTCCTGTGCTGATACTTTCCAGATGGACTAAATCTGGAATATAAACACAGACCTGTAAAAGACCTAGAAGAATAATTCAATTAGTGTTGCAACCATGATAACAAGACAAAAACAATGAAGAAAAAGATTAAAATTCAACATTCTTTGTCCAACACCATTAAATGATGACAACACATGACAAAGCTGTTGCAGGATTTTTGATTAATGTACATAGAAAACCTAATTGTTAGCAAAATATAAAAGCTTAAACAGATGTCAGGTGAACTTAGGTGTGTCCTGAAGAGATGCAGTTTGACTATGCTTCTGAAAGTCTCCGTAGATAATGCTAAATAATGGAAAGTTCCTGCCTATTTCAAGGCAAGTTACTTGGTCTTTGCTGTATCACCCAAGGGAACTACCTCATCATAAAGGTGAAATGGACTAGGCTTGGAGCACCAGCCTCCTCCCCAACCTCATGACAGTGACATGGTTCAACTTGCCAAGGAGCCCTTTCTCTCTCTCTCTCTCTCTCCCTGTATGTGTGTGTCTGTGTGTGTGTGTGATAAAACAGTATTCTAGGAAAGAGAAATAAGGAGCCCTTATGGGTTTAGAGGAGCTCAAGAGAAAGGTAGACTAGCTAGGTAAAAAAACACAAAAAGTGATTTCTAAAAAGCTCAGTTTGGCTGGGCACGGTGGTGCATGCCTTTATTCCCAGCGCTTGGGCAGGGGAGGCAGGCAAATCTCTTAAGCCTTAGCATTTAGGTAGCCTGCTTCTCTGTTGCCTAGTAACCTATGATATCATTGTTGGTCACCGCCCACGGGGGGCCTGGGGTAAAAGCACCCCTGCCTCTTACTTTTTTCTTTTGCTCTTGCTCTCTTGCACTCTCTTGCTCTCTCCCTCTCCCCGTCTCTCCTGCTCTCTCTCCTTTTTCTGTTGGGGGCACCCCTTCCCTTCCCCCTACCATATTTTCTTCTCCTTCCCCCCCTCTCTCATTCTTTATCCAATAAACTGCTTTCATATAATATCTGTTGTGCATAACATTTTTAACACTAAGTTTGAGGCCAGCCTGGTCTATAGAGCAAGTTCCAGAACAGCCAGGACTACACAGAGAAATCCTGTTTTGAAAACAAAAAGTGCTAGTAGTTTAGTTGTAAAATCAGGCTTGTAAATAGATATTTTGTTAAGAAAATATGGTTACCTCACTGAGCTGTCAGGTTTTTATCTCAATTTATGCCTCCTGTGTCTTTATTGGTACAAGTGTTAGAATAATTTAAAAAGATAAATATTACAAAAGCTAAGGGGAAAACCTAGTACAGATACCGTGTAAATCAATAAGACAAAGAAACAATATGCTAACAGAAATGTGGCCAACAACAGCAACATACACCAAAAGTGAATAAATAATAACGAAACTCAGTATTCATTAAAAAAAAAAAAAGAGCCAACTGAAACAACAACAAAAGATTCCCTTAGTCACTGAATGGCATCTGTAAATGGGATAGGGAAACTTAGGTTTCTGACCTTCAGTAAATCGAGATAGTCACTCTTGCTGTGTGAAATGCCCTACGGAGGATTGGTGTCATGGGTGGTAAAGAGAATTTGCTCAGAGTCCCCCAAACAACCAGAATCTGTTGTAATAAACTGCAAGGAAGACATGGACATATTTCTAGAGAGAATACTGCACAGCAGAGATGGGGTGGGGGTCCTTTATCATAGTTGGGGGAAGGGTTTCTTTGTCCTAAAATAATGCTCTCAATTATTTTAATTCTAGTTACACATTCCTGTTGGCTGTTTAAGACCATGTAGGTAGCCCCAAATTAAGTTTTTTTTTTTTTTTTTTTTTTTTTTTTTTTTTTTACCTTTTTCTTTTCATGTCAAGATATACTAAGAGTCTTTAGGGGCCGTTCTCTTACTAAGACTTTTCAGTAGTCCCTTGCTCCTCTATTTTATTTATTTATGGGCATGAGTCTTTTGCTCCCTGTATGTCTTTGTACCCCATGCACACCTGGTGCCCACTTGGTCAGAAGAATAAGATTAATAAAAACAATAAAAATAAATCCTGATTTGGAAGACTTTTTTTTTTTTAAACAACTAACTAAAAGCCCGATAAACAGCAGAAAACACAAATGCATATCTTGACAAATGTGATAAAATCATTGTCCTTTTTGCATATCTTGCTCAATGTAGATCGTAGCTTAAGAGAACCACATTGTTTTAAGCAGAGGACTGGATTTTAGTTTTGTACCAGAGTACTGAATTTTGATCTTTGGAATGTTAACAACCTTTACACTTTTTTTTTTCCTTTAATAAGTGGCAGAATAACAGAATAGGCATCTATCAACATTTTAATACAATTGAATCCAAATTGTGCTTATGGTGTAATTTAACAAACCTAAGATTTTTCTGTATGATGATGGTTGATAGGACAACTTGATAGGACTTGTCACCTAAGAGACAAGTCACCAGACACAGTTTGAGAGAGTTTTTCAATTGGGCTAGCTCTGGCATGCCTTTATTAGGTTCGTGAGGTAGGAAGACAGATCTGACAAATGGCTGGACAGCATTCTTTGGCTTGGATACTGGCAGTGCCAGTTACTCTCCCATTTAGTTTAAGGGCCTGAGGGGAAACCCATCATGGCTGTGGCAGGGTGTGAGTGAGGGTCGAAACACACCATATCCACCCCGCCTCCGTGCCTATGGTTGCTCAACAGTTTGGTTCTTTTTATAGGATGCAGTCTCCTTTTATGATGTGATATCTGGGTTCTTTGGGTCAAAGCATTGAGAAACACACACACACACACACACACACACACACACACACACACAGTGTAGCCCACGTGGTCGTCTCGCCAGCAAGAACGCACACGGACACCAGGATTCTTCTGCAGCAAGCGTTTATTCAGCAGTAATGAGAGGAAGACATAGAGCCCCAAAATGGCGCTCCTTTTATACCCTAAATGGTGACGTGTTGGTTCCTGATTGGATGCAGCCCATCAGGCCATCTTACATCACTAAGTGAGCCAATCTTTGGCTCGAATTCAGCTTTAGCGCATGCGCATAGGCAGTTGTTTACGATCTCACACACCGGATGCCGGCGCCATCTTGTAATGGCGTTTGCTTCAGGCTCTTTACAACACAGAACAGTAGCAGAAGTGTAGATTTATTAAAAATGAAAGTAAAATCCAGGAGAGTCTGACAGGGTGGGAGTGGGCTGGAGTTAGTGTGTGGCTCAGGAGTCACCTTGTTTTCCAGTCCAGGAGGAGTTCACAAAAGGCCAGGGAGGAGTTTTCCGAAGCAGTTGACCTTTCTTTCCCATGCAGGTGATGGACAGACACCTCCAGGTCATGTTCACTACACAGGCACCATCTCAAAAGTTCACTTTATGAGTGAGATGTAGCTTTCATAAGTCCTTAAGTGGTTTGTGCTGTCTCAGAGGCTACCTTGGAATAGTCTTTTCTTCAATGTATTTTCTTCAATGTGCATGCCTGTCTCTAGGGAAAATTCTCCCCTTCCTGGGTTTTACTTTTCAATTGTGGTAGTATTTATTTAGTTATTTGCTTATTTATTTTGGTTAGAGGAGGTTTACACAGACCAAGGCGAGGTCCTATTTCAGTTGTTGGGTACCAGAGTTAGCCTGCCTATGGTTCCCAGTCATGTGCACCGGGACTCTCTACCTCTCTGTCTCGGTCTCCTCTGATCACTCAGTCTGAGGAAGGGTCTTTCTCTGGCTCCACTGGAATAATGGTGAAGGGAAGGAGAGGGAGTCAAACTGTTTCTTTCC